AAGATCACCTCCCGCAGGCCTGACCCACCCACATAGGCTCGCTTGGGTCTTCTGCCCTGCTTCAGCCTTTCTCCTGAGCACCCAGTGAAGGCCCAAGAGAAAAGATCTTGCAAGTGAGTGTGGACTCCTTTTGTATCTGGGGCCCCCAGCTATTCCAGACTGACACATTAGCCCCCTCTTGGCCTTTGAAAATTAATGAAAATGTTACCTGATTTTGTTGTACCCACTTGTTTTGAGGTCCTGTCTTGAGGCAGTACTCTGCCACAGGAGGGACAGTTTGTGTGCCTTGTCTCTCCTTGTAGGGCTTTGTCCTCTTTGGAACTCAGCTTCCTTGGCTGCCTCTCATGAGCTCAAGAAAAGTTGTTTTTTTTTGAGTTGGAGTCTCACTCTGTCACCCAGACTGGAGTGCAGTGGCACGCTCCCGGCCACCACAGACTCGACCTGCTGGGCTCCGGCGATCCTTCCACCTCAGCCTTCCAGGGAGCTGGAACTACAGGCATGCACTATCACGCCCAGCTAAGTTTTGATTTATTGTAGATTTGAGGTCTCGCCAAGTTGCCCAGGTGGGTCTTAAACCTGTGGGCTCAGGCAATCCACTCACCTTGGCCTCCCAAAGAACTGGGATTACAGGCTGAGCCACTGAACCCAGCAAGAAAAGTTTTAATTCTGTAGTTTGTTCTGCTTTGTTGTTGTTGTTGTTGTCAGGGTAAGAGTGATGTTCTTTGCAGCTCAGCAAATGTAGAAACCTATACCAACTATTCATGTGATAGGATTTAGGCAATTTTATTTCTCCATATTACATATTTATGTAACATCTGAATTTTTACAAGTGCATTTGGTTTCATAAATAGAAAAAAACACATTGAAGATATATGCAATAGTCAGGGTTCTCCAGCAAAACAGAACCAATAGGAGATACATATTTATATGTGTATAATATATATGATACAGAAATATATATTGTCTTGTTTGTTTGAGCTGGAGTTTCACTCTGTCATCCAAGCTGGAGTGCAGTGGCACGATCTCAGCTCACTGCAGCCTCAACCTCCTGGGCTCGAGTGATCCTGCTGTCTCAGCCTCACAAGTGTGCCATCATGCCCAGCTAGTTTTTTTGATGTTTTTGTAGAGACAAGGTCTTGCTAGGTTGCTCAGGCTGGTCTCAGACTCCTGGGCTCAAGCAATCTTGCCTCGGCTTCCCAAAATGCTGAGATTACAGTGTGAACCACCATGCCTGGCCCCAGAAATATATATTGTATGTATATGGAATAGGCTCATGTGATGATAGAGGCTGAGAAGTCCTAAGGTCTGCATTCAGCAAGCTGGAGACACAGGAGAACTGAAGGCAGAAGTCTGGTCCGAGTTTGAGGGCAGAGAACCAGAAAAGTTGAGGTCCGGTCCAATGGCAAGCTTGAGACCCAGAAGAGCCAATGTTGCAGTTTGAGTCCAAAGGCAGAAAATACCAAGGTTAGTCTAGTTCCATGCAGTCAGGCAGGAGAGGCCTTGTCTTCCTCAGCCTTCTGTCCTACTCAGGTCTTCAGTGGGTTGGATAAGACCCACCCACATGAAGGAGGGCCATCTGCTTTACTTAGGCTACCCACTCAAATGTTCATCTCATCCCGAAACAGCCTCACAGACACACCCAGAATAGTGTTTGACCAGATGTCTGAGCACCCATAAAGTTAACCATCACAATAGGCTACAATGGTAATGATGGCGCCATCATAATTCTAGACAGCTTCTACAGGCTGAGACTGGTCTGGGAGGCAGAGTGGAGCTGAGACTTTCTTCATTTGTCCTGTTCCAGGGGACCTTGGACACAGAGCTGACTTTTGCCCCCAAAAGCCACTCACAGAAAAGCTCTCCATCCTGGGCCCACAAGGCAGACGCTCCTCCCGGACGGCAAAGGAAGAGCTGAGCCCTCCTCCCCAGGAGCTCCTTCCCTCCCAGGCATGTTCACAGGCCGAGACATGGAGACCACTTTTATCAGCTTTGTGGAAGAGCACATCTTCCCACCTGTGGGGACAGGACTTGGGCTGAACAGAATGACTCCCCACATCCCCAGTCAACTGGGAATTTTCTTTTATAAGTGAACAGTGTCACTCTAAAGTTCCAGAAAGTCTGGCAACAATTTTCTAGAAGTAAATGATGACTCTGGTGTTGAACCATGATCTTCCCTTTCAGTCATGCCCACAGTGGCTACGCTCAAATTCTTTTTTTTTTTTTTTTAAGAGTTGGAGTCTCACTCTGTCACCCAGGCTGGAATGTGGTGGCACAATCATGTCTCATCACAGCCTTGACCTCCTGAGCTCAGATAATCCTTCCACCTCAGCCTCCTGAGTAGCTGGGACTACAGGTGCATGCCACCATGCCTAGTTAATTTTTTAAAGATCTTGTACAGACAAGATCTTGCTATGTTGCCCAGGCTGTTGAACTCCTGGGCCCAAGCAGTACACCTGCCTCAGCCTCCCAAAGTGCTAGGACTATAGGCATGAGCCACCGTGCCTACACTTAAATTCCTAAACTTTAGTAGAATGATATTAAAATTCAAATTCCTAAACTCCACCCTCAGAGATCTGTATTCAACACATCTCAGGTATACCCCAGAAACCTGCATGTTTACCAAAACCCTGGGATTCATAGGAGAAGCATTGCTTTAGGCCTTACCAATCCTAGGAAACATTTTCAGAAATTCCTTTTCAAGGAGCAAAATTGTACAGAACTCAGAAGTGTATTCGAGTCTCATATGTTCTCATATAAGCCATGCTAGAGAAACTAGACTCGCACAAAAAGTGAATCCTGTTTGATCCCATTTCTACAAAGTTCTAGAACAGGCAACATTTAGCAATAGAATTCAGCAGCTGCTTGGGAAGGGGCATGGAGAGAACTTTCCGGAAAGGTGAAAATGTCTTATTTGGTGGCTGGTCATTGATGTGTACACTTAAGATGTGTGAATTTTCTTGTAGTAAATTATACCTCAATGAAGTCATTCTGAAAAGCTATCACATCTCCAAAATAATAATTGAAGTTTCAGATTTTAAAAAAATCACTTTCCATGGTGTCACGATCATATCTATAAGGACACTGTAAGACTCACTACCATCATTTATGCATTAGGTATTGAGTGCTAAGTGGCTAGCAACAAGTCAATATTTTATTTGTGTATTACTTATGTTCTTGCCTCATACAAGAAATAAGACCAAGCTCAGGCCTTTCTGTAGAGTGCTGGGAAGAGACCCAAAGGCAATGTTCCCAGGAAACTCAGGTTTTGGGAAATTCCTGCATGGATACTCCACCCTCACCCCACCTTAGACTCTTCTGGATATTGGGACACACACACACACACATACCCTCCTCAACAAGAAGGAAACACACAGTAACTAAACATAAGACCCACGAGCTCTGCCACCCTGAGACCTCTCAGAAATCACCACAGAGTCAGCAGGTCATGCCTTAAGGGGCTGTCCCTCAGACTTGTCAACAGTACCACCGCTACCTTGGAGTGTCCCGGGTCAAGAGGTAACTCCAGAAGGAGTGACGCTGTTGTTCTGACCTCAGAAATCAGTTGTGCTCTGAATGTGTGTGACCTGAGGACCTTTGGTGATGTGTCCCCAGAAGGAGACTGTGCATTCTCAAAGGCCTCCAACAGAAAACCCTCTGGGCTGGCAGAGACCCTGGGTTCTAGCCCCTACTCTGCCAATTGAGTCATAGGGTCACCTTGGGCAATCATGATCCCCCCTTTGGGGTCTCAGTTTACCTATCTGTAAAATGATGGACTGGATGAGTAATAATTATCATTCAACTCGAGAGCCCATTCTTCCAAAAAAATTCCTCCAATATAAGAAAAAATGGAGAGGATCGATGATTGAGTTTGAGACCAGCCTGGGCAACATAGCAAGACCCCATCTCCACAAAAAATAAAAAAATTAACCAGGTGTGGTGGTACACTTGTAGTCCCAGGTACTCAGGATGTTGAGGCAGAAGGATTGCTTGAGCCCAGGACTTTTAGGTTGCAGTGAGCTATGATTGCCCATTGCACTCCAGGTTGAGCAACAGAGCAAGCCCTTATCTGTAAAAAAAAAAAGAGAGAGAGAGAGAAAGAAAATGGGATTCAGAGGCCCATATCCCTTGTCTGTTTTTTTTTCTGAGGACCTCCTAACCTCTTGAGAATTGTTTGAAAACAACTGGTCCTGCCGAGTGCCCAATCCATGGAACTGAACTGACTTCATGGAAATTCTCCATTACTTCAAAGGACCTGACCCCAGTCACCATAACCATGACTTCAGTGACTGCATTGATCTGTGACCACATGTAACCTGACCCAGGGAACCCCTAAGGGAAAATGATTCTAGATTCCCCAACCAGAGCTAAAATTCCCTGAGAATTGCTTGCCTGACTACCCAACTCCCCGACCATGCTGTGACCCTGGCTGTTTAAGCTCTTAATCCCCTTCCCACCCCCCAATTCTGCCAACCCTGTGAATTCAGAAACACCGAGAAGTTGATTCCACGTTGAAGCAGCACATCAAGGATAGCCAAGTCCACTCCTGACCTTGGATGCTCAGGGATTATCTGCTTTGGCATTCCTCCTTTCCTAAAACCCTGACACATGCGAGATGTCATCGTCATTCCAGAGTGCTTATTAAGACCATGTGCTGGGTACCATACCACACACTTCACGTGAGTCACAAGCAATCCCCACCACCCTGTGAGGTGGGTGTTATTATTGCCCATGATGCAGCTGAGGGAAACTGACTCAGGGTCATGGCTGAGATTCAGGGTGGAGCCAGTGCATGCCGTGTGGGCTGTGGATGCGAAGATCACTCAAAAATTGCTCGTCCCAGCGTCCTCATCTCTAAGGCAGGGATGACAAGTTGCTGGGCAAGTTAGTGAAATCATCCACATGGAAGTCCTCAGCATGGCACCTGCCATATGGCAACTCAGTCAAGGCTGGCACCAGATGCTGAAGGTACAGATGCTTCTTCCAAAACCCAGACACCCATCTTTCATAGAAAATAGGATTTATTATCACATTCAAGGTGAACACAAATGTTTCAGAAATGTTTTATATACGTCATCAGTAGACTCAACTCTTTTCACACACAGAAAAGGCTTTCTTCCAGAACACAGGGAGCTTATAGGCATTTCTGTTTCCAGCACAGGAATTCACATTGACAAGGCACAGCTCACGTTACGTTTGTTCCCAGGTTCAACTGCTCCTGCCCTCACAGGCCCTCCACAGTAACGACAGCAGCAAACCAACGGGATTCACAGTAACCGGGAGGAAAGGCCTCCACTGGAGGAAACTTCACAAAAGCCCTGAGTTGTGGTTCAAAAGCCAAGCTCGGGGGAACTGTGGCCTGTGCCACTGAGTCAGGTCACACCGTAGCAAGGGGTTGTTAGTGTCACAGCTTCATTTCTAGTCAGTCTTATCAATTAACTTAATTCTGATTAGGAAGGCATTAAACAGGTATGAGAGCCCTTTTGTAGCAACTGGTTATCCCCCTTGGCCAAAGAAGAGGCAGAAACCTTCGCCGAATGCTGGCCCACCCCTACTACCGGTGTTCAAGGCATGCCTATATTGACTCTGAGGACTCCTCAGAAATCACCACAGACCCAGCAGGTCACGCCTCAAGGGGTTGTTCCTCAGACTTGTGGGCTGGGCTGTCACAGACAATGCTTGATGAGGGCTGAGTGACACCATGTCCACAAAGGATACCCAGAAAGGGGATCATGAAGAAGGATGGACATTTAGGAAGCAGTCGGGAGAGTTCTGGTAGAGGTCCAATATCCCTGAGTGGCCTTCCTCAAGCATAGTGACAGTGGAGTGGGCACAGGCAACTCTTCGGGGCCTCTGCAAAGAGTCCGAGGTGGCTACCTGGGTAAGTCAACACACACACGGCTGCCACCATCTTAGCACCCAGGCCACGGTTAGCTCAGCTGGCCACAGTCTGTGATGACAATCTTCTTGGATGTCTTCCCACTCTTAGAGCCGTAAGATTCTATTTTCTTCACGACGTCCATGCCTTCTTTGACGTGGCCGAACACAACATGTTTGCCATCCAACCTGTGAGGACAGGCGAGCCAGGTGAGTAGACACAGAGTAGTGCGATGTCACCCAACATCATGGCCCCTGGATCATGGAATTACTTCCTCAAAACAGCAATTCTCAAGGGAACCTCCACTGAAAAGCTGAATCCACCCCCAAAGCTTGATCAAGCCTTGCTGAGCTCCCTAAACACACCCCAGAGGACACCTGGCCCCCAAGACATGTTCTGTCCCAGGCCACGCACCTAACCTGAATCCTCATAACCCCATCGATGAAAAGAGGGCTATTCTGGTTCTGCTTAGGGAGACAACAGGACACTGAACTACTGTGAAGAAAGAAGTCTGTACAGATGGAACCATTTGAACAGTCATGAATCATGAGGTGAGAGCCAAGGTGACAAGTGTGGTGAAACTACAGGAGCCCTGCACAGCTCTCAACTCAAGAAATGCCAAGAAATCCAAGGAAGCTCAGTTCAGCTCCTACGAAGCCAAGAGTGGCTCCAGCCAAGGGCCGAACTGCAGGATCCATTAAGGTCCCCTGGAAGAAGAAAGAGCAGGTGGAGCCAGCGACCACCTGCCCAGCTCTGCCAGCTGTATCTTCTGGCTGGGATGCTAGAGACTATTGGTATCCGCCCTGCCACCTAGGTCTCCCTAAAATCCTCAGAAATGGGTTTTATTAAGTCTTAGCTCCTAGCTAGCCACCGTCCCCTTAAGCCAGATGCCCAGGGCTAGGACATTTGGGACTCTGGGCAAATAAATGTATCCTTTAATGGAAAATTTACCAGGGAAAAGACATCCCTAAAATCCACAGGCACATGGAAAGAGGCCCTTAAAGCCTGGCAGCTATCCTCAAGCCTAGGCTGACAGAGGCCACACGAAAAATATGCTGATATCCAAATGTCTACCGCAGCGTTTCCACGGCCATCCCATGATCAAGGTAAGTCAGGGAAACGCCAAGTCAAGCCAAACAAATGGGCTACTCAGGCCATCTCGGGGTCTAATACAAGCTGCAGCTTTTCCCAAGTGTATGTGGTAGAGGAACCACTTTGTGAGTGTGTGCGCGGAACACACTGAGAAAATTCCGAGTGACAGCAACAATGAGAAGCCTAACTATGAGAATTGCAGGAGCAACCCAAATTCTCCCTCCGTCTTTTCACTAACTTTCTTTCTCTCCTGCATATGCACAGCCTGGAAGAGGGCCACTGCCCAGAGCAGATGGTCCAGTTGCAAGCTACCTGTCCCCGAATGTGCATGAGCGCTCCCGCAGCTGCAAGGCCACCCCTCATTCCAAGAGGGCCCGGAGCAGGAGACTCACCAATCTGTCTTTATGGTGCAGATGAAGAACTGGGAGCCATTGGTGTTGGGGCCAGCATTAGCCATGGACAGGACACCTGCAAAAACAAGCTGAGCTGAGCCAGCTGCCCCAGGAGGCAACGAACCTGGGAAGTCACTCAGGAGCAGACGGCTCAAACCACATCAAGAACACTTGAGTCTGCAAATCCTATGGCCCAGAAGAGGGGAGCCAGGGCTTGACCACCAGGTCCCTGGGTTTGTCTGACTTTGCTGCTCACTGGGTCTCACTGAGGTGGCCTGGGAGGAAAGGGCCTTGGAAGCTCTCAGCGGTAGCGCCAGGGCAGGATCCCCAGCCCTGACCTCCAGACTTTTCCACATTCCACCTTGGCCTTATAGGTGACACATGCTGCCACAATAATGACCCTAGTTTCTATAATTTGCTTTTTGTCCAAGCAAGATTTTAAACAATCCTCAAAGGACCTAAGACCATTCTGAGATGATTCTATGAAAGCCAGAATTTTCTTTTTATTTTACTACTATTTATTTATATATTTTTTGTGTCAGAGTCTCACCCTGACACCCAGGCTCCCTTGTAGGTGGGACTTAAGGTATGTGCCACCACATTCGGCTAATTTTTTTGATTTATTGTAGAGACGAGGTCTCACCAAGTTGCCCAGGCTGGTCCCAAATCCCCAAGCTCAGGCAATCTTCTTGCCTCCGCCTTCCAAAGTGCAGGCATGAGCCACCATGTCTGGCCTTTTAAAATTATTTTAAAATTATTATTATTATTTTCTTGTAGTGAGGAAGTCTCACTATGTACCCAGGCTGGTCTTGATCTCCTGGCCTCAAGTAGTCCTCTGCCTTGGCCTTCCAAAGTGCTGGGATTATAGGTGTGAGCCACTATGCCTGGCCTCAGAATTTTCAACCCATAGCTCTAGGGAGGAAAACAGGGAAGTGGCCAGAGGCCTTCATTCTGTTTAAAGGCTCTTTCCGGATTCCTGAAGAAAAGTTTTCATTTTAGACTGAGAGCTCCGAAAGCTCTAGGAAAACTCAACCAACCAGAAATGCTGAGTTGCCCAAAGTGGGAAAGGAAGGCAGGTGCCTCATAAATACTGGACAGGCATAGCAGAGGCCAGGGGTTTCCAGCCAGGTCAGAGCTTGGGGGATGCTCAGACCAGAGGGGAACGGCAGTCCCCACTCACCTGGTCCCACATGCTTCAGTGTGAAGTTCTCGTCGGGAAAGCGGCTTCCATAGATGGACTTCCCCCCTGTGCCATTGTGGTTGGTGAAGTCGCCTGCCTGCAGACACAAAGCACCTTGTAAGTGGTCCCCACAGAGCTGGTGCTTCTCCAGCACTAGGAGGAAGTCCCCAGCCACCCAAGCCCAACCAGCCAGCATCCCTCAGGCAAAAGGGTCAACAAACATCCAGTGGAATAAGGACTAATAAAATAATAAGGAAAATCAACAAAATATTTAAGACAAAGCTTAAATATTTTCTGCCACAATAATTACCCTGGCTTACAAATAATTTACTTTTTTTTTTTGAGTCAAAGCCTCACTCTGTCACCCAAGCTGGAATGCAGTGGCATGATCACAGCTCACCACAACCTCTACCTCCTGGGCTTAGGTGATTCTTCCACTTCAGCTTCCCAAGTAGCTGGCAATAGAGGTGCGCGCCACCACACTCAGCTCATTTTTCGTAGAGACAAGGTCTCGCCATGTTGCCCAGGCTGGTCTCGAACCCCTGGGCTCAGGCTATCCTCCTGCCTTGGCCCCTCAAAATGCTGGGATCACAAGTGTGAGCCACTGTGCCTGGCCTCTATCTACAACTCTTTTTTTTTTTTTAAATTGGAGTCTCACTCTTGTCGTCCAGGCTGGAGTGCAGTGGCACACTCATAGCCACCATAGCCTCGACCTGCTGGGTTTAGGCGAACCTTCCACCTCAGTTTTCCAAGTAGCTGGGACTATAGATGTACACCACCAAGCCTGGCTAATTTTTGTGATTTACTGTGGAGATGAGGTTTCACCAAATTGCCCAGGCTGGTTTCGAATCCCCGAGCTCAGGCAGTTCTCTCGCCTTGGCCTCCCAAAGTGCTGGGATTACAGGCTGAGCCACCGCGCCTGGCCCAACCTACAACTCTTAAAGGGCAACAGGGAAAAGGCCAGGGGCCCCCGTTCCTGAGTCTGGTCTATGGGAGCAGCAGTAGAGGCCAGTCCAAACCAGCACCCCAAGCCCAGCAGACCCAGGACAGAGCCCGCCCAGGGATGCCGTCCTTCCTCAGAGCTCGCCATGACCAGAAGAGCCCAGTAGCTGCCCCTATGCCCAGTATTGCCCAATCCTAGCCCCAGCTTCTGGGTCATGGCCGGGTTGCTGTCTTCCTGAGATGGGATCCAAAGGTGAGGGGGTGACTGACCAGCCTGGCTGAAGAGTCCACACATCCCAATAAGATGCCCCCAGTCAAGGATGACCCAAGACCCTGGCCTGGGCCTGCCCATGTCACCACCTCCTGACAGAGAGCTCTCCAGCGTGGGAAGTCCCCAGGCTGGCTCAGGACTTCCACCACAGCTCCTGCTTTACCCATGAGCCTTAGGTCACAGGGCTGGCCCAGTCCTGCCTCACAGCCACAGCCTCCCCTGCTCTCCCTGCATTTGCCACATTCACGATATCCCCAGGCCACACCGCACACCAGAGGCCCATACCACGGTGGTATGACAGCCACTGGGTCAGGGCAGAGGGAATGGGAAGAGAATTCAGGCTGGAAAAACTTTAGAGAGGTCGTGACAGCCATGCCTCTGCTTCTTGACACTGCCAGCCGCAGACACTAATACCTGCCCCTGAGGGTGTACCCTAATAGAGGACCCAGTGCCACCTGGGTCCTGCCTCCTGGCCCCTGGGGAAGTTCCTGCTGCCAACACTTACCTCCAAATCTCTGACACAGCAATACTAATGCTTTCAAAAACAGGTAGAACACATGACTAAAGAACATATTCATTTAACCAAGAAAAATACGCATCCCTGGAAAGGGAAACACCTAGTCAGATGTGTGTGTTGCTGCCTGTGCCCCGTCTTCTTCCCCCTCCTCTCTCCCTCTCACCTCTCAAGCCATGTGCTCAGGGGCACACAGGGGGACAAAGTCAGACTGTGGGAATGTGCTGGGCCTTCAAAGCCTTCGGCTTCACCTCCCCATGCACATCCACCCCCAACCTATCCTCTCTCGATACCCTGCTGGGATACCCTGCCACTGCCCCAGTGCTTAATTTGGGGGACAGGTGACAGAAACAGCACTTGGCCAAAAGAGTAAGCACAGCTGCCCTCTCAGGACTTTTCATGTACCAGGCATCTTCCTCCCATCTCTACGAGGCAGCTCCTGTTGTCATCCCCACTTACAGAGAAGGAAATCAAGGCACAGACAGGGCCACATTACCTGGCACATGAAGGATGGGATCACCCTGTGGAAGGTGGAGCCTTTGTAGCCGAACCCCTTCTCACCAGTGCACAGGGCTCTGAAGTTCTCTGAGGGTCGGAGAGAGAAGTAGGTCAGCAGGGCCAGGCCCGACTCTGGCCTCCACCATTCCAGCCCACACCCCTGCCAGCCCCCAGCAGTGAGCCAGCTATGGAAAAGCCCTGGCCCATCTCCTGGGCCTGCTCTGCCTGGCTCGCTGTGTGACTAGAATAAGTCACTTCCCTTTCCTGGCCTCAGTGCCTGAGTACAGTGACAAGAGTACACGCTCCTGGCTATGTTGGCAGGGACTCAAGGACCATGTGCCCATCACCCTGTCCCAACAAACAGAAGAGCAGTTGTCCCTGGGGAATTCACATGTGCCTTCCACTGGTTCTGAGGCTCCCAGCTACTATGAGAGAGGTGGACAGAGCCAACACTGAGGCCCAGAGAGGGACAGGAGGCTGTCCCAGGGCACCCAGCAGCTGAGCCACACATGGAATGTCACATCTGGCCAGGGGCTCTGAGCCCTGACTCCTCACCAGCACATCTGCCATGCACCCCCTCCCCCACGCCCCATCTAAACCAGACTCAGAAGGCCTCAGGCCCTGTCTTACCAGCTGTCTTTGGGACCACATCTGCCTTCAGCTGTGGGGAAAAGAAACAAAAGAACTCGGTCAGTCTAGAGGCAGGTGCAGGAAGACGCCTCCTCACCACCCAACCCCCAGAGCGACCAAGAAGGCGCAAGGAAGAACCACAAGGCCATTCCATTCCTGTTCCTGCCAACCTCGTAGGAGACAGCCTGAGCAGCTATCATTTCTGGCAGGCGCTTCCTGAACCCAAGGAGGAGGGAGGTGCCTTGGTTTCCTAATCTCTCAGAAGGACATGACAATGCCATCCTGGCCTACTTCCGGGAGCAGAACTGGCAGCACTCCTATCGCTGGGCCCAAGAATCAAAGACTCAAGGCCGTCTGCCCCTGGGAGGAGCCAGTCCAAGCTCTGCAGTGCACAGGTGGGAAACTGAGGCCCAGAGACAGGAAGGAGGGTGGGGGTGGGGAGGACAAAGGGAGACTGGAAACCTATCCAAGCCGGCCTCTTGCTTGAACTTCAAGAGCCACCTTGCATCATGGAAGCAGGGAGGGTGCCTCCATTATCCAGAATAAGAAACTGCGACTTAACAAGATAATACCAAGGGCTCCCTGGGAAACTGGTCAGTAAACACACATTAGCCTCTTTGTTCAAAGTGAGGTCAGACTGAAAGCTACACAGAGGATATTTGTTTCTTAAGTTTGCCTTTAAAAAGGCCCAGTTAAAGAGCTAGAGCAGGTGCTGAGTGTGGTCCCACAGGACGCGGGCGGGGAATGGGGCTCCCGTGGTACTGCCCCGACTCACAGGCGGTGCCATCCTGGGGTCCGCCTGGCACCAGAGCCTGCGGTGTGCAGGCCTCGCCCTGCTGGAAATCCCTCTGGCTTCACGGCCCTAAGCCCGGGGGCGGGGGCGGG